TTCCATACACTTTTTTTCATCATATCCTTTTGAAATCATCTTTAAACCATCATCAAATTCATTTTTTTCATACAGCAAAGTGCTTGGTACCTAAACACTCACTAAATATTGAATGGACGAACCTGCTAAATCAGAGTGCTGATAGTACTTGTCAGCTACTACCTCTGAGTGATAACACTGTGCTCAGACATCAAGCTGACCGTGAGCTGGACAGGAAACAGGTGCTCAGTAAACATTTGCTGAGTTTCATTCACATAGTTTTAGAGCTGGAGGATCTTAGAGATGGATGATTCACCTCCCGGTGATACTCTCTCCTCTATGCCCATGTGCTTTTTGCATTTATTGAAGCGCATGGATTAGCAAATATCTATTTAGCTTTTCTCCTTGTTAACTCCTTGAAAGCAAAGGCATTGTGATGACCCACATTTCCCACACAGCCTGATGCTTGGCAGGTTACAGGCATTCAGGAGCCTCCTGAGAGGAGAGAGTGAGAGTGAGGAATGTTTGCTGCCCAATATGGTAGCCATTGGCCACATGCGACTATTTAAATTAATTAAAATTTAAAGTTCACTTCATCTGTCGCACCAACCACATCTCGTGTGTGGAGTAACAACATGTGGCTACCATATTGAGCAGAACAGAGAACATTTCCGTCATTACTGAAAGTTCTATTGGACGGTGCTGGTCAGGACTATTTTTCTCAAGTTGTCACTTGCTCAAAATCAAACCATCAGAAGCAGAACTGGGATGCAAACCTGGAACCCCTAAATCAGTGTTCATTGTTGTTAAGTCATAACTCTGATTCATTTCAGAATTCCAGCTATTTGTAGCCCTGGCTTAGAGCTCGTGATGTTATGGGAGGCATGGTCTTTGTCTCATGACTGCCACAGAAGCTACTTTATTTTTGTATTGTAATCAGTCAACTTGCTTATTTTACAAAGGAAAAATATAACAGATTTTAAAATGTACCCAAAAGTTTTATACCTCTGGCGTAAAAGGAGAAAATGATGCTCACTTTAAGAATGCTCTCCAGGTGCCTAGCTAAACAAAACATCATAGTGTTCTGGTCTTGTGCCAATTTAATGAGCAAATGCACAGGAAAGGTGCTGGTTTAGTGGTTGCTCTTTGGTTTGGTTTCTTTAAAACACTTCTCTTTGGTTTACTAACTTGTAAAAATTATTTGGATCTAAATCGACAGATCAGTTTTGGGATTCAAGGTTGGTTTGCTTTAAGTTTTTTTAAAATATATTTTTATTGATTTCAGAGAGGAAGGGAGAGGGAGAGAGACAGAAACAGCAATGATGAGAGAGAATCATTGATTGGCTGCTTCCTGCGCTGAGGATTGAGACTACAACCTGGGCATGTGCCTGACTGGGAATCAAACCATGATCTCCTGGTTTATAGGTTGATGCTCAACCACTGAGCATCGCCAACCGGGCTGGTTTGAGGTTTTTAAAAGATTTCCTCAGCTTCTTTTGAGAGCATCAGTAATTTCTAAGATGCTCAAAGAGAACGAGCTTTCCTACAACTTCCACAATGCATTTGTTTATGAAAGTTGTATTTAGTGTTCTCTGGAGAGAGAAATCTAGTGCTGCCTGATGGGAACAGTTATGGAGAGGTGAGGAAGTGAGCATTCTCAGTGGTACCCTAACATTAGGTCCAAGGAGGCAAGGAGAGGAAGGACCAGATAGGCGTTAAAGTGTCCCCCAGATGCTTTCAGTCTTGGGTACTTGGCTATCACATTTGCTAAAGAAAGAGCCCTTTGTAACCCACTCTAGCTATGTCCCGACTGGAATGAAGTTGCTGAATAAACACTGTAATTTCTGATAGAAGAGCATACAGTTTAGTGTTTGTTTTTGAGAAGCACAAAGGCAATTTACCGTCTTTCCATATAAATTTGAAAAAAGGTAACCAGAACTAGTGATGAGGGAGATCACGTTTTAGAATTAAAGGAGGCACATCAGACAGTAATCTGGTTCCTTCCTTGAAAGCCTTTATTCTTCCATCAGGCAACTAAATGTCAGTCCTTAGGTATCAGAAACATCCTGATTTAACCGCAGGACCAAAGAAAGGGGGTGTGTCTTTACGGCCATATTTCCTTTGATGTGAAATTCAAAAGCTTTTGCTTGGCTGGGAATGTTATGATTCAAACTCCTATGTCATTCTCCTCTAATCATTCCGCAGTGGCTCTAGTCTAGTTTGCTTTTAGGCAACAGAATATATGCTCTTCCCAACAAGCCAGTATAGCAGTGTTTCTCAAAAATGAATAATGTCTAGAAAAAAAAAATGTCATGAACCTCCGATGTTAGCTTCTCTCAGGAACCCCCTCGTCCATTGTCCTCTGTGGCCACTGGCTCTGCCCTCTGCAGTTTGCCCTCTGAGCCCACAATGAAGTGGGTGTGGGGAAGCATGGCTGCTTTGTGGACAGTAAAGCTTTTAATACAGGCTGGTGGTTTCTTTAGCATTCCACTCCCTCAAAAACTGAAAGACTTCTCATCTGTTTGCATCTGGTCAGTTTCATATGCCAGAAACATTGAAGTTTTTTCCTAGAGATAATTCTCAATCCTAATTTATTTCGTTGCTTTTTCACGCCTCTACTTCTCAATTTAAAGGGCCATCAGACTTAAGTGGGAAGGCTACACCCTAAATCTCATCTCTAATCTCTGAGTTTTAATGGGCCGTGTTGCTCAAAAGCTTTTCCAATCTCATTTCCAATACTTTGCAGTATAAAGCAGCCAGTTTTTCCAATCCCTCGAGGCTCCAAATTCCTGTACTCTCTATATTCCTTTTTATTTATGCATGCAAACCTGCTTATTATTGCATGAGCTCACCTCATTTTTCTAATATCTTGCTAAATGCAGCTAGTAAGCATAACCCACTAACGTTCCATTTTCCAGACTCTTCGAGAGCTGTGGGCTTTGTAGGCACTTACTGGCCTTCTGATTAGCACAGGCAACTCTTTTACCAGATGTCTTGCCACGAGTTTCCATTTTCCAGCTGCTAATAATGGTTCTTTGCTGTCTGCTGCCTGCCTGAGTAGCTTTAGATTTTTACGACAGCGCCCTGCTTCTGTAACAGTTTCTGTATTGAGGTCATGCTAGCTGTTGTGACAAACGTACAAAGGTCACAGTAAGAGTTTGTTTCTTGCCCAGATGACAGTTCCGTGTAAGTGTCCCTGGTCAGGGGTGGAGGAGCGAGGGAGTCACTCTAGCCCTCAGTCTCCAAGGACCCAGGCTCAGAGCCTCTGTCATTTTCAACATGGAACTTCTAATATATCCCTGGACATCAAATTCCAACCAGTAGGTGCCAGAGCAGAGGGAGGTGATTGCTGTTAACTAAAGTGATGATGGCAGTCATCTCACAGTCCACACCTGTATCAAATCATTATGTTGTACACGTTGGACTAATACAATGTTATATGTCAAATATCTATAATAATAAAAGCATAATATGCTAATTGGATCCTACGTCCTTCGGGATGAAGCTGGGGCTGTGAGGGAAGCCCGGGTCCTGGGTGCCAGAGGGAAGCCGGTGCCGGCAGCCAGGGGAAGGAAGGCCTACTTTTGCACGAATTTTGTGCATTGGGCCTCTAGTATCTCAATAATAGGGGGAGGGGGGCGGGGGCAGTTTACTGCTGGTGTTGGCAGCTCTCCGTGTGCTGACTCAGCGATTGGGGCTGCTTCCTTCTTGTGGCTCCTGCATCTTAACCCAGGGTTTCCTCCGTGACTATTGTGGCATGGAAGAGGAAGTCCAAGGAACTGCTCAGAGGCTTTCACTGTCTCCTGGAAGTGACACATTCCTTCTCACGTGTCATTGGCCCCACCTAACTACTAGGGATGCAGAAATGTAAGCTCCCCTATGCCCTGGAAGTAGAGGAGGACCAGATATTAGTGAACACCCGTCATGTTTGCCACGAGTGATGTGACCTTGAATTCAGCAGTCGGACTTCCACTCCTCCAGCCCTCCCAAGGCTTCCAGAAGTGTTGAGTTGCCTGGCTGAAATCCCTTTGTGATTTGAAATAGCTAGTGGTTTCGGGTTCCTCTGGTGAACGCTGCCCGAGTCAGGTGTGTGCTGGTAGTTCTCTAGCCCCTCACCTCCATCCACCACCTCCACCCACACTCCACTCCTCTGAGCCCCAGGAGGGCATCCTCTACCAACTGCATCTTCCAGGTTCCATTGCCCTCTGGCTTCGGTTGGTTTTGGATAATGGGAGGTACCACCAGTCTGTGGGTCCCTTACCTTGCCCTGTAAAGAGTCCTTTCATTCAACTTTCTTTCTTTTTTTTTTTTTTTTTAACATATTTTATTGATTTTTTACAGAAAGGAAGGGAGAGGGATAGAGAGTTAGAAACATCCATGAGAGAGAAACATCCATCAGCTGCCTCCTGCACACCCCCTACTGGGGATGTGCCCGCAACCAAGGTACATGCCCTTGAAGGGAATCGATCCCGGGACTCTTCAGTCCACAGGCTGACGCTCTAGCCCAGGGGTGGGCAAACTTTTTGACTCGAGGGCCACAATGGGTTCTTAAACTGGACCGGAGGGCCGGAACAAAAGCATGGATGGAGTGTTTGTGTGAACTAATATAAATTCAAAGTAAACATCATTACATAAAAGGGTACGGTCTTTTTTTTTTTTAGTTTTATTCATTTCAAACGGGCCGGATCCGGCCCGCGGGCCGTAGTTTGCCCACGGCTGCTCTAGCCACTGAGCCATACTGGTCAGGGCTCACTCAACTTTCTTATTTCAACACTTTGAGTATGATGTCTGTTTCTTGCCTAGACCTCTACTCATACAACAAGGTGTTTAATAATTAAAAAAATGAGTCGAAAAGAGGACTAGACTCTTCCTACCTCCAGTTTTATGCAGCTTGAGATCTTTATAAAATGCAAATCTGGCCCTGGCCCAGTGGCTCAGTTGGGTAGAGAGTCACCCCGTACACCAAAAGGTTGTGGCTTCGATTCCTGATCAGGGCACATACCCAGGTTGCAGGTTCAATCCCAGGTGGGGAGGCAACCATCTCACATCAGTGTTTCTCTTTCTCTCTTTCCCTTCCTCTCTGTCTAAAATCAATAAAAACATATCCTCCGGTGAGGATTAAAAAAAGAAAGCAAATCTGAATATATGATTCCTCTGTCTAAGACTTCAGTGGCTCCCTGTTACCCCCCCCCAGCACCGCACCCCATTCTAAGTTGCAGCCAGACTGAACTACTTTCAGTTCCTCCTGCAACGTGGTCTCTCTTCCCCTGAGCCTTTGCACAGGCAGTAGCTTCTTCCTGGAAACCGCTCCCCACCCCCACTCTCATCACTCAGACAGCAGCTCAGATGTCACCCACCCAGAAAGTTCCACAACCTACTTTCCTAGCTAGATGTCAATATACACTCCCACCGCAGCCTCCGTTTACCATCCTGAGACAGAATTCTGGGTTACATGGACCACAGCTGCCTGCCAGCTCCTCTCCAATCAGCTCCCGTATCCTCCAGGCACCGCACCTCCCATCTCCAGGACGCGTAAGGTGCTTGGCCCTAGCAAGCTCTCGGTGAATCTGGGAGAGGTAGTTCCTGAATGTTACTGAAAAGGCTCCAGCCCGCCGCCTCCAGCTACCGTCCTCTCTTTTCATTCAATGACAAAAATCAGAAAAAAATAATTTTTAGTCATGCACTCCTCATTACTACCTTCCTTTACTTCCCAGACCATTTTACTCTGACTTTGCCACCACCTCTTATGGAGACTTCTCCTGCCAAGTTTATCAGTGTCCGATGAGATCTTCAATTTAACAGCTTCTTTCCCGTTGTGAGATAGGAAACAATTTTCCCTCTACCCATCTAAATTCTTCTGGCTGGTCTAATAATCAAATTAATGCAGAGATTAACAGGAGGAAATAACGAAATCAATTACGTATATGCAGACAGGGGTCCACAGAATACGGGACCCTGAGGACATAAAGGGCAGTTAAGGCACAGATGCTGTTCTGGACTAACGGGAGGGAGGCAGCGGTCTGGGGCTTCAGAGGGAAGGTAGGTGAGAGAGAGCAAATCTTTGGTAAAGAAATTCCTGCTGGGCCACCCGAGACCAGGAGACACAGAGGTTGTTAGGTTCCTCCCTTTCTGTCACACTTAGTTTAGGAGAAGGTGATAAGCTCACTTCCTTTAAACTAGGCTTTTCTGTCTGAATTCCTTTAGGCCAGCGGTTCTCAACCTGTGGGTCGCGACCCCTTTGGAGGTCGAACGACCCTTTCACAGGGGTCACCTAAGACCATCGGAAAACACATATATAATTACATATTTTTGTGATTAATCACTATGCTTTAATTATGTTCAATTTGTAACAATGAAAATACATCCTGCATAACAGATATTTACATTATGATTCATAACTAGCAAAATTACAGTTATAAAGTAGCAACGGAAATAACTTTATGGTTGGGGGTCACCACAACATGAGGAACTGTATTAAAGGGTCGCGGCATTAGGAAGGTTGAGAACCACTGCTTTAGGCAGTTAAGGGGGGAGGGTCAAAGGTTCTTTCTGAGTCTTTTGTTTCTTAAAAAATAACCAGTTTAAAATAATCAATATCCCAAGTGACATAATTTGGGGTGGCAAACTCTGCTTCCACTCACAGTCCAAATCCTCCAGAATTTCTCTGCAGCTCTTTCTGGAAACTTCTTCCTCTGCTCTCCACAGATCATGAAAAGTTCCTTTTCTTTCTTTCTTTCTTTCTTTCTTTCTTTCTTTCTTTCTTTCTTTCTTTCTTTCTTTCTTTCTTTCTTTCTTTCTTTCTTTCTTTCTTTTCCTTCCTTCTTTCCTTCCTTCCTTCCTTCCTTCCTTCCTTCCTTCCTTCCTTCCTTCCTTCTTTCTTTCTCTCTATCTCTATCTGTCTATCTCTCTTTCCCTCCCTCTGATCTGTTTGCACATCTATGTTATTCTCCATTCATTTATAAACACCCCCACTCCCGTGTCTTGTTCATTTAGTGCCTGGCATAGTAGTTCTTAGTAACTATGAACATTAAATGATTAAAACTCTTGGCTTCCAGGCCATCTTCCTTAATCTCTTTCTCACAAGCTCCTCTTCCTCCATCTACCCCTTAAAGTTCTTCAGAGTACCTCATTTTTATCCACCTTTGGGGCTTCAGCCAACAGGAAATACTCTAATTCCCAAATGCATATTTTCAGTCTTAACCTTTCACCTGACCTAAGGCTGCCCTTCTCTCCCCAAGTGTCTCTCAGACAGTTCAGTGCTCATTATCTCTTCCATTCCCACCTGCCCTCCAGCTTCCCAAGCTCATTCAGTGGAATTCACAACCATCTAGATGTCCAAGTTACAAACCTCAGTGTCCCCTTTAACTCTTCCAACTGCCTTTCTCTTGTCTGCGGAGAAACCAGCTTAACC